GATAGATAGATAGATGATAGATAGATAGATAGATAAGATAGCCATGACTGTGATTGGTTATTATTGGCAGTAATCCTCATTATTACCTTGAACGGCGCTGAAGGTGACCAAGAGTAAAATCCCAAACACTAGGAGCTCCATCTGAAGATCAGTGAGATCGGCTGTGAGTCCTGTGAGATCTGAGACTGGGACACACTCTTATACGAGCCGTTAATACTCCTCCTATCAGCCCCACAGATGATCATCCACTCAGAGACAAACCCAACCACTGATCAGACATCACACCGCCTCGCGTTTCTTAAACCAGACAGAGCTGCAGTGTATCAAATAAAAGTCTTTATTCAATCTCCGAAAACATCATTTACATTCAATAAAAATACATCAAATTACAACCGACTATAAAAATTAAGTTCAAAATCTGTCAAATTACTGTGTAGCAAAATTACAACTTCACAGTTACATACACCTAAAAATCTCAAATAAAATCATGGATAGCAGCATCAAAAACATCTGTAGCTTCAATCTCCACAGTGTCACACATCTGAAACAGACAAAAAATACAACTAAATAATACATTTACTTCCTAAACGAACAGATTTGATTAAAAAAACACTCGATTACAGGAATAAATTCAAAACTGTAAAATCAGTCACCATTGTATTTATTTTTAAATGATGAGATCTAGGGCTCTCAAACTCCAAAAATGAGAAAATGATCATAACAGTAGTTGATATGATATATTTCAAATCCTATGATACTTTTGTGAAATTTATCAGCATATAATGAAGTAAAATGAGCTTTTTTAGCTGAATGGACTGCTGTGCTGAAGACAGACAGAAAGTCATGTGGGTTTATGGATGAAAGAAATCAAGCGGCTGATCGATAACTCACCCGTCCTCTTCCACGAGCTCAAGGCTTTACCGGAGGAGACTTGGATCTGATCCTGGCTCTGCTGGAAGTGCTGGGAAAACACGGGAATTGAAACAACATGAAACATTGGGGAATCCAGTTTAGTGAAGAGATGAGCCTTTTCTGACAGGAAAACCGTTTATTACGCAAAAGTATTGAAATATTGTGTGATTGTGTTTGAGCAACCGCAGCTTTACTATCAGGAGCAAAACAAACTAAACTTTAATTGAAGGTTCACTTATGTTCTCACGACAAGAGTGTTTTTCATGAAATAATTAGTTATTTAAATGTATTCATATGTATTTATTATTATTATTAATAGAAATAATATTATTTAAAATATTTTTACATTACATTATCATCACATTATTTTACTTATATAAAAATTAATGTTATTACTGATAATACTAATAATAAATAAGAATATTAAAATTAAATATTCATAAAATATCTTAGTATTTGCTAATTATTATTATTCATAATGACAATAATTATTAATAATATAAATATATACATTTTATTTATATTATTCATATGTATTTATGATTATTTATATCATTTATCATTATCATCATTATTTTATGTATATAAAAATATATAAAAACAAATGTTACTATTTTTAACACTATTAAAAATAATAAATAAAATTAAATATATTGTTAATAATAACTAGCAAAATGCAAATGCTATTTAAATGAGTAATAATAATAACAATAATAAATTATGTAAAAAATTCATTTTTACTATTTATTGTGATTTTATTATTATTATTACTATTATTAATAATAATCATCTAAAAAATATGTACAAAAAATTGGAAAATAAAAACCATCATATTCTGTTGCTGAAATTGAATTATGTACTTTTACACCATGTACGTTTATGTAAACTCCTTAAACATGCACAGTCTTTTTATGACAAAATAAAACTGTTTAAAGGAAAACCCGATCAACATAGTCACACAAACAGTCTGTCAACACAGTTTTCATCTTCTCCTGTAAAAGAGTTTCTATTGCATTACTGGTTTGCATATATGTGACCCTGGAGCACAAAACGAGTCATAAGGGTCAATTTTCTGAAATTGAGATTTATGCATCATCTGAAAGCTGAATAAATTAGCTTTCCATTAATGTATGGTTTGTTAGGATAGGACAATATTTGGCTGAGATGCAACTATTTGAAAATCTGGAATCTGAGGGTGCAAAATATCTTCATGGAACATGATCTTTACTTAATATCCTAATGATTTTTGGCATTAAAAAAAATCAATAATTTTGATCCATACAATGTATTGTTGGCTATTGCTACAAATATACCCCAGCGACTTAACACTGCTTTTGTGCTCCAGGGTCACATATAAACTAGGTTTTCATAATGAGCTTATTTCTACTGTGTTCATTTTATCTCATTTTAGCCTCATGTACTATAGAAGTCTTTTTTTAGTGAATAACCTCTTACATTTCTGATTTTGACATGTTTTGGCACAACGTACCTGTAGGTCAGTGTGAAACCTTCCCGGCTCTGACCCACTCGCACCAAGAAGCAGCCGAGAGGTTTGTCGATCAGGAGATCTTCTGCTCGTCTGAGAAGCCAAGGTTACAGTCAGCACATGATAAACCCTGTATGTTCAGGAGCGAGTGTGTGATGAAGCGCACCTGCGTGTGATCATGCCGTGGAACCAGCTGGGGAAGCCGCCGTCTCTGGTCAGCTTACGCACCTGCGTCTCTTTGAACCAGCGGATGGTGTTGGTCTTCTTCAGCTGTTTCTCTTTCATTCGCTCTTCATCTGTGGCCTGAAGCATCAGAGGAGCGTCCAGCTCGTTATCAAACGGAGTTGCCTGACCACAAACAAACAAAAAAATGAAAATGAGATGAACGAAAACGAATATGTGACCCTGGAGCACAAAACCAGTCATAAGGGTCAATTTTTCGAAATTGAGATTTATGCATCATCTGAAAGCTGAATAAATAAGCTCTCCATTGATGTATGGTTTGTTAGGATAGAACAATATTTGTCCGAGATACAACTATTTGAAAATCTGGAATCTGAGGGTGCAAAAAAATCTAAATATTGAGAAAATCATCTTTAAAGTTGCCCAAATGAAGTTCTTAGCAATGCATATTAATAATCAAAAATTTAGTTTTGATATATTGACGGTAGGAAATTTACAAAATATCTTCATGGAACATGATCTTAATATCCTAATGATTTTTGGCATAAAAGAAAAAACTATAATTTTGACCCAAACAATGTATTGTTGGCTATTGCTACCTTAAATCAGGGTTATTACTGTTAACTAAAACCATGAAAACATAAAACACTGAAATAAAATTTAACTGAAACAAAATATTTTTATATTACCATTTACTAGTTACCAAGGCAACATTTTAGTTTAGTTTAGTTTAAACTGAAGTACTAAAATAAATAAAATAAACTGAAATAAAAATGAATACAAACTATAGAGATATTTAAACAAAAGAAACAGAAAATAAATAAAAATGCCAAAAATAACGCAACTTTAAAATAAAAATGGAAAATATAAAAATTAAAACTAATTCAAAATATTAATAAAAACAACATATAATATATAATAGTATATCAACAATACTAAAATAACACTGCTTAAAGTCAAAACGAAATGTCATTCACAATCCATTTCACTTTTGTAATGTGGCATATAACAGGTGACGAAGAAAATAACATGCGACAAACATGATTTAAGAAAGTAAATTAGGTCAATTTTGGTTTGAAGTCGACTTTAAACTTCAAATATTAATTAAATAAATTATAAAACAAACACACAAACAACATCATAAATAATTAGAATTGTGCATATTAGTTTTTGCATAGTATAATAATAATAATAATAATGAATTATTAATATAAATATATATTTGTAAATGTTTATTTATATGTATTCATTATTATTAATAAATAAACCAATAATAATAATATTATTAATGGTATTATTATTTTATTACTTGTATAAATCTATTTATTTATTATTAATATAAATGTGACTATTCATAATAAAACTAATAATAACAGGTAAACATACAAAAGTTTTGTTTGAATAAAATATTATATAATTAATACTAATAATATATTATTTTCAATATATCATCATTATATATTTTATTTACTATTTGTATGAATGTATTTTTTTATTTATTATTAATATAAATGTGACAATTAACTATTTATAATAACACTAATAATAATAAATAGTGAACATACAAAATTGTTTTGTATGAATAAAATATAACATTATTATTATTAATAAAAATATAATATTTTTCAATATTATGAAATTCAAGATGGCCGCATCTGATGACGTCATAATATGCAAATTAGACGAGTATATTTACACCCCACATAAACTTTCGGTCATGCCCAACATTTTTCTAATTTACATTAGATCTCTATCTTTAAGCCCTTTCAAGCCACAAGCTTTTGAAATCTTGATGTCAAAATCCAGCATTTTTCCCAAAAATCCCTGGCGCCTAAAGGGTTAAGTCCTTTCCACACTGAGCGCGAAAAAGCGAAACGAATATCGGACGCGATGACGCGCTGGAATAAAACAATAGATTTCTATGGATGCTTCCATATAGACAGCGAACATTCGCGACAACACATGAAATATAATGGTTTATTTAAAAAAAAATACAGCTGCCAAATGCATAGGCTTTCTAGCATTAATATGATCCTACTATAGCAACAATTTAGGACAGTCCGTTTCACAAAGTCGCATTATTACATCTGACACAAACTTTCCGCTCAAGCGGTTCAACTATGAATGCAGCACTACTGAGTAAGCTGTAAGATGAAGTATGATGAAATAATTCTTTATTGTTTAATAGAGGGCTAGATGGTCGTAGTTAGTTGATTATTTCGCTGTATTGTTATTGTTTGTTGCTGTTCAAGTTGTTCTAACTTAAAATGATGCATCTGGTAAATAGGTCGCAATGAATGTGTTATGTCAGGGAATCGGTCGCAATAAGCTTGTGTTTCAGTGTAAAGCAGACACAATTAAGTATTTCTGGTGGTTGTGGTGGTATCAC